GAGTGAGTGAGCGAGCGAGCGAGCGAGCGAGCGTGCGTGCGTGCGTGCATGTGTTAACATGCTCAAGACCAATTTTCTTTGTAATTTCAGAGTTTATTAGTAATGCAAATGTTGATAAAAAAGCATGCATGTTAAAGAAAAGAGCATTTGTGTATACATTTGTGTAGCAGCAGTCATCTGAAGATCCTTATAGTAATACTGTATAATCATGCATGTACACATATGACCTGGAAATATACAAAACAGATGCATTTGAAGAGAATTGATCCTGGAATTGAGAAATTGAGCTCAGTTATCAATCATTGAGCAGCCGTTGTAGTCCTGTTTTTTCTCAACCTGTGGTCTTCAGTCGACTGTAAAAGGGGCCTCAAGAGGAATTAAAGTTATTTAAAAACAACTAAAAATCATGATACTTCTTATTTTAGTTCACCCCTTTAACAGCTGTTTTCCCACAGTTCAATATTTTAATAACTGCATTGCTTTTGCATAATTTGGCAGATAATGACCCGGCATGCACAGTAAATGTCTGACTACATTATTGTAAAATAACGATCTTTAATCCTGTAAATTCTTGGCAATTTTTACAGTGCCAGATTCTATCAGAAAATGTGGATAAATGAGGAAGTCCGATTTTAAAGTGTGATTTCTAGACCTGGAAAAGTAATTTAAATGATTAAAAATCGCATTGGGCATTTTTATGAAGAGCATACGTTTTATTACTGGTTATGACAAACTCTTTCATCGGTTAGAAATTGTAAGTAGAATTTTTTTTTAATCCTTAATATCAAATATTAAGGATAAACATGTCTTATCAATATCTTATCTTTAATACAAATCCAGTGAATCATGAATAACTGGAAATTGATTGGATGAAGCAGGAAAATTTAAGAACTTTCATCTCATAACTTTTGGAATCCTGAAATTCAGTTATTTGAATTATAATAATTTAGTTTCTTATTTTAATCTGTTCACACAGTTTCTGTAAAATAAAAAAACATTGGTCTTTCCAGAGGAAACATATTAGCTTTTAAATATTGTTGTGATTAGGGCTGCACGATAAATCGAAATGGAATCGAGATCGCGATTCGACAGTAGCTGCGATTGTCATGCGTATCTTTCAGTGAAGCACTGTTCTGTGATCAGCAGTAAATCTCCATCCAAAGGCCAGAGGGCGCTCTCAAGCTGAAACTCCAAATACGCCTCGCAGAAGAAACCCAGAAAATGCATATCGCTGCAGCTGAATAAACAGAAGATTCAACTGCTTTCATTGATTCAACGTGACTAATAAACACATGACTACGGCAATATACGGTTTATCTGAGTTCTTATTATTATTCAAATTGCGCATGACAATCGCATTCGATTAATCGTGCAGCCCTATTGTGGACATTGATGGTCCTTGGAGAAAGGTTTGAGAACTACTGCTGCAGGACATCCATCTTTCTTTTTTCAGCGCTGCTATTTCACCTGATCAGCGACGTTTACTCAACACTTACTCGGGGCTTCTGTCCATTTCACTAATAGTTATTAGAGCGTCAGAAGTCCTAACCTCAGCCCCAACCTCCTCCTCCATCATTTCCATCTTCATCTCCATCCTCGTCCTCCTCCTCTTCCTCCACACTCACCCCGTCCTTCTTCTTTTTCTTCTTCTTTTTCTTCTTCTTCTGCTCCTCCACCTTGTATTTGACTCGTCGGATGGGGTCGGTCATGCTGCGCATTTTGCCCTCGTCGAACTCCTCGTTCATCATGAAGTTCCTGTCGATAAGCTCCGCCCCTTCCTGCCAGTTGCGGTAGCAGTCCTGCCCCAGCTTACAGATTTCCTCCGCGGCGTTGGGTGTGAGAACGGAGCAGTCCGGACGCAAAACCACCACCCTGGGCAGATCCTGCACCTCGAACATCTCGCTCAGCTCCCTGTGAACCACACAAACACGTCACAAACTACAGAGCTCCTGATGGTTACACACAGCGGCTCAGAAACATACTCTGATGCTCAGCCTTTTTGACTCTAACCCAGCTAACAGGGAATGTTCTCAGGACTTTCTCCCAAATGAACAAACTCTTCCAGTAATGTTAAAAGAACACTGGTTCCAGGTTATCTGGTCGCTAGACATTAGAATTCTTAAGTCGCTGGGGTATATTTGTAGCAATAGCCAAAAATACATTGTATGGGTCAAAATTATCGATTTTTCTTTTATGCCAAAAATCATTAGGATATTAAGTAAAGATCATGTTCCATGAAGATATTTAGTAAATTTCCTACCGTAAATATATCCAAACTTCATTTTTGATTAGTAACATGCATTGCTATGGACTTCATTTGGACAACTTTAAACGTGATTTTCTCAATATTTAGATTTTTTTGCACCCTCAGATTCCAGATTTTCAAATAGTTGTATCTCAGCCAAATATTGTCCTATCCTAAAAAATACACACCTAACATACATCAATGAAAAGCTTATTTATTCAGCTTTCATATCATGTTTAAATCTCAATTAAAAAAAAAAATACCCTTAGCACTGGTTTTGTGCTCCAGGGTCACATATTATTAATAAGTATGTGTTATGTTAATGATTGAATTAAAGCTGAAATAAAATCTAAAATTAAAAAAATGTTTTAGCACTAAAATTACTTGAAATAAAATAAATAAAAACTAATATTGAAATAAAATGAAAAAAGCAAAGCTAAACATTAAGAAAAATGAAGAAAATTTACTACAAATTTTACTTAAGATTAAAATAGAAGCTATAACAGTAAATAAGCAATATTAAAATATCACTGGATCATGGTTAGTATCTACTTATTTCCCAGTTATTTGAATTACTATAGTAAGTACAGTACATAATATTTACATGCAGAACAGAACTGTAAAATAAAATGAAAAGTTCTTGAGTGGGAATCCTAGTTCAATTTAAATCTTTTGTCATATTTAAGTCAGACCCCGTCAAAGTGTGCTCAAGCACTGTACTAGAAACTGTCATACTCAAATTTTTTGGCATGCTTTTCTGAACAAAAATGGTACGTACTGTCTGTAGGGGTCCTCGTAGGCCAGGAACAGGCAGCGTTTGGGCAGCTCCTTCAGGAACTTCTCCTGCTGGTCCTCGGAGGAGTCCAGCGAGACGTACAGCAGGACCAGCTGAGCCGATCGCTCCACGTAGAACTCGTCCGTGAGCTTCTTGTAGAAGTCTTTGAGCGTCGGCGCGAACTCCTGGCACTTCTCGCACTCGCCGGAGCCGAAGAACAGCATGAGGATGCGGTTCTGGAGCCGCAGGACGATCTCACGCTCCGTGTCCAGCTCGTCTCTGTCTTTATTGTTCTTCACCAGAACCTTCCCCAGGAACAGGTCCACCATGACAGCTTCTGAAGAGAGAACATGCACTGATCAATGCTTGATGATATTCTTCAATGAGTTGCATGGAGTTGAAGGGAATAGCAAAACTTGTAATTAAAATGGCAAACAAACTAGTGTAATTAATACACTACAACACAATCAAATACATATTTTCCAGTGGGAAAGGTATGTGAACAGTATCCCTAGGCTAATAGTTTCTACACAAGCTAACTGGAAAAAAGATCATCTTGAGTTCAATGAATGAGATAGAAGATGGCGGTCAAAGTAGATCTGCCCTGCATAAACACTCACAGATTGTGAGTACAAGAAGGATTGAACCAAACCTCAATTAAAACCAACAGAGAATGTTCTCAGAACATCCCTAACACTCTGGCAAACCTCTAGAAGTTACGAACAAACGTTCTTCCAGTAACATTAAAAGAACATTTGTTAAAAGTTATCTGGTCTTTAAAGTTAAATGTTAGCATAAAAGCATACATGTCGTCCATGTAATGTCTTTTTGTGAAACGTTTAAGTTGGACGATTGTCTAACATATTTTAAATGTTACTACTTGTTTCAGAAAGTTCAGAGAACATTCAAAAGTAACATTGTTTGAAAAATGATAAAATAGAATGTTCCTTTAACGTTCGCATCACCAAGAAAAACATTTTTAAAACATTTTTAAAAAATGTAAGGTTTAGAACGTAATGAATGTTTGAATGTTATGGATTAATGGGAACATTAGCAAACTATTCTTAACTTATTTTTGTTAGCAGATTTTGAGCATGAAATCTTGTTTAAAATGAACCTGGACGAAACTGACAGTTACAGTATTTCGGGGAATACAGCAAAAAACACAAAAATCCAGAAATGAACAAATTCATTGCAAAAACACAGCTGCATGTGTAGAGCTGCATCTACATACCACTCAAAACTCTTGAAGTTGAAGTTATTCCCAGACCTTCAGTGACGGAGTCTCGCTGGCCTCAGAATCGCTGTTGTTCAGAACCGAACCGATCATGAGTTCAGATCAACACAGCTGCAGGTTCACCGTGCTGTTATTTCCCGTCACCACACGCCCCGTTCACGGTGATTACAGGGTTAAACCGACACCAGACTGTCTCTGACATCGCTCTGCCAGTGTTTGTCTACTCTCCAAACAGAGAGATTTGAGGACACAGTGAGCAGACCACCTAATCTACATGAACCCACTGTCATAATCCTATTGAGAGAGAGAGAGAGAGAAGGTGTGAGAAAGTGAGAGACGGAGAGATAAGTACCATCAGAGTCCATCAGTTAAATCTGACAGATGCCAATATTACTCAAGTTAATTATAATAAGCAAAGCATGCAAATGCATGGCTGAGATTCAAGAACTGATTTTTGTTTCTCTTTTATCGTAAAAATGAATCGTTTTGTTCTCTGGAAGGATTATGGCCATGTTCATCAGAGATCCCATAAGCCTTCTTGGCTGAAAATACACCAAGGCCTTAATCCAATAGTGAGAGAGAGAGAGGGAGAGAGAGAGCGAGAGAGGACTGTCTTGTTTCACCTGAGTGAGAATGTGAGCTCTCAGGACTCTCTTACCATTTACAGTTTAAAGCAATAGTTTGAAAATGGAAATTTGCTGAAAATGTCCTCACCCTAAGGTCATCCAATATACAGATGAGTTTGTTTCTTCATCAGATTTGGAGAAATGTAGCATTGCATCAGTGTCTCAGCAATGGATGCTCTGCAGTGAATGGGTGCCGTCAGAATGAGAGTCCAAACAGCTGATAAAAACATCACAATAATCCACAAGTAATCCACAGCACTCCAGTCCATCAGTTAACATCTGGAGAAGACAAAAGTTGAGAAAAAATAATTAAGACGTTTTTAACTTCAAACCGTTGCTTCTTGCAAAAATATGTGCTGTCTATCCATTAACTTCCGCCAGTGAAAAAGTGGCCTGGTCTGAATCAGGAGAGAAATCTGCACAGATCAAGCAAGCCAAAACAGCTCTAAACAAATATGTGGGAGGATTTTGATGTGAGAGACAACAGGAGATGCACTTTTTCACTGGAGGAAGCGTTATTATGGAACGTCTTAATGCTGGATGTGTTTCAGCTTTTGTCTTCTCCAGATGTTAACTGCTAGACTGGAGTGCTGTGGATTACTTGTGGATTATTGTGATGTTTTTATCAGCTGTTTGGACTCTCATTCTGACGGCACCCATTCACTGCACCAATATATCACAGCAGACGCCTCCTAAAATCAGACTGAATCTACGGCATCAGGCTTTAAGAAACATTCTTTATTCTTTGGTATAAAAGGCACATTCAGGATGAAAGAAACAGAAAGGACTGATCAAAAAAAAAATGTCACTCATTTAACTAAATATTATGCATTTCTTGAGTTAGCACATTAAGCATCATGTAAACATTAGTTTGCCACACAAGCATCAAAATGGAGTCATTTTAATCAGTTTCTATTCTCCCATACAAATCTCTTAAGGCAACTGAAAAAAACAAAGAACATAAAAACTAAAGGTTAAACACTTCTGTGCGGTTCACATCACGGGTAACAGATCCGTCGGCTGACCTCGAGGACCAAGAACAAGCTGAACGAGCAATAAATTAGTCATCTGCAAGCAAACTATCAGATAAAAACATGCCGATCTCATCCTAATGCCGGGTTCAGACTACACGATATTTTTGTCGGTCACGATAGTCACTGTGTCAGATTTCACGATTTTGACTCCTAAAATCTTGTCGTGTCGTGGACAAGAAACATGTCAGACTACACGTTGCTTCCCAAACATTCATTGCGTGCCGTCTTTAACGACATGCGTGATGTCATCGAGGAGGCGGAACTAGCGACTGACTTCCGAAAACAAGAGTGTAAACATTGCTGAAGCGCTTCCGCTATAGTTCGCCCGCATTTTTTCTTTCTTTGTTCTTTCGTGGTAGTCCCTCGATGACACATCATACAGGCAGGAGTACTGTTGCCACAGCTCCACGAACCTTTGCTCCATCTCATAATTCCACCTAGCAACACCATCATCTCTCTTTCGTTTCGCCATGTTTGAAACCTGTGTATGAAAGAGCTTCTGTGCTGCTATTGGTTAACGTCACTGTGACGAGAGCCGTGGGAACGGAGCGAGGCCGGTCGGTCTCGAGTCCCACGGAGGAGCTCCGGAAGGATAAAAGGAGGAGTGACGACAGTGTTGGACGAGAGAGGACCAGGCCTGGATTTTATTTTGTGCTTTGGTTCTGTTTGTGCGCGACAGTCGTCCGCGAGGGGCTGTCGCGCTATTTTATGTTTATTTTATTATTAAAGTTTTGTTCAAATGTTCGCCGGTTCCCGCCTCCTTCTTCCCGACCTACGAACGTAGTTACAGTCACCAATGTGACAGAACTCGTCGTGGACGACGGAAAAAAAATTAAACATGCTAGTCTTTCTGTCGTGATGTCGTGAAGCATCGCAGACGCGGAATCGGTTGTCGTCCACTATGACACGCTACACGTGCTGAAACGATGGAATCTTGCGTCCCGACACCTATTGTCGTTTACGAATCCCCACGACACCCTACGTCAAGCAAATCGTGCCAAAATCGTGCTAAAATCGTGTAGTCTGAACCGGGCATAATCTGGGACGCATAACAACAGCTTTATGTACAAAGTAAAAGTCAACACTCACTTACATCATGTTCAAAGTGAAATAATAAAGGAATGAAATGATAAAAATCACATCAATTTTAATAAAGCGCAAAGGATCAGGACTCCTGACAAGCGTTCATCTACTAGACCCATCAGATCAGGTTAAAACTATCAAAAACCAAACCATCTCTATAGAGGTTGTTAGTATGAACATGTCAATCATGTCAGATCGTCTCGATTCTCCTTGAGATTCTCATTCATACAAATAAAATCTAACTAGCGTCATATTTACTGTTCCTGCATCCGCTCAAGCATTTCAGGAAGATCACAGGTGTCCATCTCATCTGAAGTGCCTCGTGAAGTGAATATCGCTGACGGCTGTGTGACGGAGCGTCCGCTCCTCTCAGTTCTGACCCTCCTCAGCTTTGGTGGCTGTGATTGTGAGGGTTTCTCCGCTGTGTTCGAGTGTTTTCGGCTGCTAGAGCTCGTCGCGGGCCGTGCTGTCCAGCGGAGACTGCAGCACGTCTGAGTTCTGCGCCTCGCTGCTGAGCTCCTCCTGCTCGCGGCTCTTGCGTGATCGCGCTCGGTCCCAGTCAGTGCGGACCGTCTCATTGTCCCAGACGCTGGAGGTCTCCGTGTCGCTGATGTAGCCAGCGTCGCCCGTGTAGTGCGTGGGGTAAACCAGCAGCGGCTCGGCCGAAAACGCTCGCAGGTCCCGCCGCTTGAAGTGAGACATGTAGTCCTCGCTGCACAGACGGAGATGGAAACAATCAGTTATGGTGTTGATATATAAATATAAGAATAACTAATACAGTGAAACAACATGCATTGAAGAAAACAGAATGAATGACAGCGAGACAAACTGATCCATCATATAAACAGACTCAATTAAATAATGGTTTCTTCCTTAAAATGAATTATTTATTAATAATAATAATAATAATAACAATAATGATTAATCAACAAAATAATATTTTTTTTATTATTCATAATCATGTTTTATATTATTATTATTGTTAATAATAAAACAATTGTTAAACATCATTATAATATTTTAAATGTATTATTATTAATATTATTTATAATATTTATAACATTATGCTTTAATTCATTATTTTTATTATCACCACCATTAATAAAAATAATGATATTTTTTAGCAAACTAAATCCTTTATTTTGTTTTACACTGAAATTTTTATTTCTATTATTATGAACTTGTTTATTTAATTTTATAAGAATTTTAATATAACTAATATAAAAATTATTACATGTACATGTTCTAATTTCACTGAAACATTTTTTACGTGATCTTTAGGTTTGTCATGTGATTTTAGAGATGTTTTATTAGATTCTGTGTTGTCTGATGGGTCATATGAGACTTTTTTTTTTTAATCACTGCTCTTTGTAAGATGCAAAGAAAACTCTTTTACACCACAGCAAAGAATGAACTATTTTTGTATCTGATCAGAAGAATAAAACAATATATGGAACTACAGATATAATCAGACAATCTGAACACTAGGGGATAATGATACGGCTACATGAGGCGATAAATCTCTCACATGGGGTGTTTGTTGTACATGACGGGCAGAAACTCATCCACCGGCAGCATGTTTCTGAGCGGTTCGGCCCGCAGCAGCTTCTGAGCGCCGCGTAGCGAGATCATGTACCCCAGCGTCCAGTAGGAGTAATCCGCCTCCACCAGGTTGTGTATTCTGGGCACAGATTTCTCCGGTCGGTCCACCTGCATGCGCTTCCGGCCGATGTAACTGAGACAGAGACGAACAGCTGGAGTCAGGAGTCCAGCAGAGGACGCCGAGCACATACAGACTGCTTCACTTACATCAAGTCCCAGTCCAGCCGCTGAGACTCGATCTCATGCATCAGATTCTGCAGACGACGCTTAAAGAAAACCTCAAAGCGCAGGTCGTCCTCGATCACCAGAGATGCCTTCAGCCCTCGATCCACAATCTAACACACAGAACCACGCACATACTGAGTAAACACATTGCCGTAATGTAGGTGTCACGTTTATGTTCTGTTTTTGTTTTGGTTTCCCTCTGTTCCTGCCTCCGGTTTCTGTATACCTTTATTTGGTTATTTTTTTCTAAAAATAGGAAAACATTGAGTAAACACATTGCCATAAGATATTATAAAAAATATTATTTTAGAGAAAAATACATTTAAAATATTTTCTAAAAAGAAAACACTTATAATTCACATATTTCATTATAAAGAGCAGTTATTTTATATTTTATAAAAAAAAATATACATAAACATTTAAAACACTTTTTATATTATTTTCTTTAAAATATACATTATAAATATTATTTTCAAAAAAATTAGATTATTTTATTATCTTAATGCATTTACTTGATGAATATGTTTAACTTCAAGCACTTTCCTTGTTTGTGTCTGTTTTGTTGTCATTTTATCATTGACTATTTACATTTTATTATGAGTATTTACTAATCTTGTATATATACTTGAAAAAACATGTTTACTTAATTGAGAAACACTTGAAGGCAACACTGTTTCAATTAAATAATATTTACATTTTTAATAAAGGAATATAGACAAAAGGATTTATTTTTGCTGTGGTATTAGTAAAACACTTCATCTCTCTCTCTCTCTCTCTCTCTCTCTCACCTCTGTCCAGATGTTGAAGTGTGACAGAAAGCAGCCCAGCTCTCCTTTAGTGAGCGGCCGGCCGTGATACGGGTCGCTGTATCCGGGCATCATCTGGATCCCCAGCGCCTCGATCTGACTGGTGTTCAGCGCCCTGAAACACACACACACACACGGGTCAGATGGTCTGTATGCGACAGGTGAGACAGACAGGATTATGGGAAGCTCATGTTTGCATGTGAACGCGATCTGTTTGTGTGTGTTTGAGACGTACTTGCCATCTACAGCTGCGATGATCTTGCACGCGATCTCTTGTTCGTACAGAGTCCTCAGCATGCGCTCTCTGCGGTCCGAACGCCTCAGCAGGTTTATCATAAACACCTGGACATACATACCATACGACTGATGAATATATAATAATAATAATATATTATACGGCTTTATAAAATAATATGAAAAGCCCTGAAACACACACACACACACACACGGGTCAGATGGTCTGTATGCGACAGGTGAGACAGACAGGATTATGGGAAGCTCATGTTTGCATGTGAACGCGATCTGTTTGTGTGTGTTTGAGACGTACTTGCCATCTACAGCTGCGATGATCTTGCACGCGATCTCTTGTTCGTACAGAGTCCTCAGCATGCGCTCTCTGCGGTCCGAACGCCTCAGCAGGTTTATCATAAACACCTGGACATACATATCATACGACTGATGAATATATAATAATAATAATATATTATACGGCTTTATAAAATAATATGAAAATAAATATGTAATGTATTAATAATATGATAATACACAATGTCAATAATAAAGTAATACAGCACAATAATATAACATAAAAATCTAATAATATATAATATAATATAATACAAAATAAGATAATACAACAAATAATATAAAAAACTCTTTAAGCATTAAAATATTTTGTAACATTTCATAAAATGATGTAATATGATATTTAAAAACAATAAAATATAACAATTAATATTAAATAAAATATACAAAATAAAAAAACTAAAAAATAAATATAAAATTATTACAATTATATTATAAAATGAAATAAAACAAACACAAATAAATATTTAATGTTTAATATTAGTTAATAAAATATTTAATGCTTAATAAATATTTAATATGAATGTAAAATGCTATATTACACTGTTTTATTTTATACTATTTCATTAAATAACAAAATATAAAATTTATAAAAAATTCTACAATATAAAATGATAAAATATGAAATATAAAAAGTATGAAGTATAATAAAAATACTATAAAGCAAAATAAAATAGTGTGGCATTAATGTGACATCCTGACCTCATCTAAGCCCATTTTATCAGGCTGTTTAGGAGGAAGAGAGAGATACACAGACGACTCTGATGGAGGACTGCGCACTGCAGACAAAACACATTCAGAACGATGAAGGACATTTCGTTACGCTCCTTAAGCGAAAACATGTGACCGGTCATGTGACTCACTCATAACCTCCAGCAGCGAGTGCAGAAAACTGTCCGCCTCGTCCTGCAAGGTATTATGGGAGCGCAGGGGCACGGGGAGATACCCATAAGTCTCTCTGTTGCAGATGTACATCTGAACCTCTGCGGGAAACCATGTTAAAATTCACGCAAAAGCAGCGCACATGATAACCGAATGCAGTCTCCTCGATCTGAGACGCACCTGCCATCCGCGCGGAGAAGGCGAAGATGATGATGTCGTCGAAGGCCCAGCTGTAGTCGGGATGAGGCGGGAAGAAGGCCAGCTCACGGGTCGCCTCCTTCCTCAGATCCAGCAGGAAGGTGGAGTGGAGCATGGGAACGGCGAAGCAGCCTTTCCTCTCCTGCCTGCGGATGGGCATGTAGGCCGGCGTCCGCTTATAATAACCCTGCAAACACACGCTCGCTCGTTAACCAAAAATATGTAGACGATCTTTTTTTCCATGACTGAAGGCCCGTTCACACCAAGAACAAGATCTATAACCATAACAATAAAGATAGAGTTTAAAAATCATTCTAAATTTAACCACAGCCACAGCAACCATAATATTCCAAATCTGGCAACGATTGTTTGACTTAATAATCCTCAATCTGGCAACCATGATATTCCCAATCTGGCAACAATTGTTTTACTTAATATTCCCAATCTGGCAACAATTGTTTTACTTAATATTCCTGATCTGGCAACCATAATATTCCCAATCTGGCAACGATTGTACGATTGTTTGACTTAATATTCCCAATCTGGCAACCATGATATTCCCAATCTGGCAACGACTGTTTGACTTAATATTCCCAATCTGGCAACAATTATTTTACTTAATATTCCTGATCTGGCAACCATAATATTCCAAATCTGGCAACGATTGTTTGACTTAATAATCCTCAATCTGGCAACCATGATATTCCCAATCTGGCAACAATTGTTTTACTTAATATTCCCAATCTGGCAACAATTGTTTTACTTAATATTCCTGATCTGGCAACCATAATATTCCCAATCTGGCAACGATTGTTTTACTTAATATTCCCAATCTGGCAACAATTGTTTTACTTAATATTCCTGATCTGGCAACCATAATATTCCCAATCTGGCAACGATTGTTTTACTTAATATTCCCAATCTGGCAACAATTGTTTTACTTAATATTCCTGATCTGGCAACCATAATATTCCCAATCTGGCAACGATTGTTTTACTTAATATTCCTGATCTGGCAACCATAATATTCCCAATCTGGCAACGATTGTTTTACTTAATATTCCCAATCTGGCAACCATAATATTCCCAATCTGGCAACGATTGTTTTACTTAATATTCCCAATCTGGCAACCATAATATTCCCAATCTGGCAACAATCTCTCTGAGAAAAAGGTGCTGATGATCTGAAAACACCAGAAAACTTGTATGTTGGAGTTTGACGATCTTCATTGCGATAGTCTGCTCAAATGAAAGTGTAATAAAGGCAGTCTGTGTTCCTTCATGAGGCCGTTTGCGCGGTTTGCTGCCATTAAATCTGTGAGCAAACCTTCTCAGTGACAAACTGTAATAAACCCAAACATTTGTCGCTTCATGTCAAAGTGCAATAATTGAGATGAAACATAAAAAGACATTTCTCTAATGACAACAATCGTGATTATAATTTTGCGCAAAACAGTCACTTTAACAGTTCGACCACTATGCAGCGTGATTAAAATACGACTGTTTTCATTGACTAAACCTTGACTAAGAATAAACATGATAAAAACTAAAGAGCACATTTGAGAAATGATGAAGTCTGAATGATAAAAGAGCTGCCAGGCGCTGTGACGGGACGAGACACACCTGAGACGTCATGCCGCACCAGAAGTTTGAGTACGCCGCTCTGGACTCCAGCATCGGCGCCACGATCGTCTTATTCTCCCGCATCAGCTTCCATAAAACATCCCGGTTGGTCAGCAGGTTATCACAGTCCACCATCTGCAAACAGAGTCTGTCATGTTTGTTTCATTTGATCATCTCAAAGACACTCCACATTACTTCACTTCATTTTAGATCTGAGGGGAAAAAAATGATGCATTGTTTTAAACCGATCCACAAAAATGTCATCTTTAACAGCAGTTCCCCTGTGAAAAAGAAGTACAGTTTAATAAAAAAAAAAAAAAAGTATTTATTATGGAAACATACTTTTAAAGAATATTTGAATGTAATGTTTTGACACTCAAGTGCAGGTTATTTACAATTGAATGACAATGTATTAGTTTAGAGTGGACTTGAGTGCGTCTTTATATGTCATTTCATAATTACTAGATAAGGTTAAAGCACTGCTGAATGTACTGACAAACATTTATGGCAAACTAAAATACACTTTAAAGTCATTTCTATTGAAACTGTATGTCATGTCTTTATAATTATATGTAACTTGCAATTAAGTACATTTAAAATGTATTAACTTGTATTATTTTGAAATTGGATTCTGGCTCCTGAATCAGAATTAAAAAAAAAAATGTTCAAAGTTAATGTTTTTAGTAAATTATTATTTACCAAAAACAACATAAATGACCAAATTTTGCTACAAGTTTGATTGCAACATATAATCATTGCTGTTAATAGTGCTGTTAATTACTTTATTAACTGAATTTTACCGTACATTTCTTCCAAGCTACTACTAAATATATTGTAGAAACTTAATTCTCTCTAAAGCTACTTTGCAACAATTTGTATCGTGAAAAGCGCTATACAAATAAACTTGAATTGAATTGAATTATTGGAGAACGCTTTATAAGAAAATACTATTTCAGTCGTTTTGCTTCTTTATAATCATTAGTGAAATTTACAAGCTATGTCTGAGTAAAATTAAATTACACCATTTTTTTCAGTGCAGTTTGAATCATGAGATGCCTAGAAAAAACCCTTATTTAATTTATGTCGCTTACCAAAGATAAAACTCAATGTGGTTGCCCAGAAAAGATGTTTAACTTTCATACATGGCAGTGGTTTTGATTCCTCACCAGCGGAGAGTGTGTGTAATCGTATAATGGTACAGAGTACTTCGACTAAAGCACACACAAAACCGACTGCTGGACAGAGGATTGAGGAACAGAGCTGATCACAGAGCAGCAGGAATAACTCTATAACACTGAACAGCACTGCTAACTTCAGACGGGCCTCTACAGACTGGAGGTGAAGTGTAATGAGCGTGTGACAGTTCTGGTCACATTATCTGCGTTACAGTTCAGTGAAGGGTAAAGAGACTCGTCTCAGACGATGTACCAGAAGGTAGTCGGCCCACATCTCCCGCGCCGTGTCGAGGGCCGCCTGACGCAGCTTCATCACGTGCTCGTACCGCAGGCTCGTCCAGTGCTTCGGGCCGCTCTCGTCCTCGTAGACGCTGAGAAACACACAGACAAATACATGCATGAGACACAAACCTTTCAGACACAGTCCGAGGTCAATCTTTAGTGTGATGGACTGATTTTTTTTGTCCTACCAATTAATTCAAATTCAATTTAAACATTAAAATACAACTGATACATAAAATGACTTAAATGCACTAAATAAAATACCATGTGGTGTGACTTCCCTACAAACATGATCCATGATATTTGTTAAAAAAATCTATCTATCTGATTTATAAATATATAGACATAAAAAGCAGAAACTATAAAAATACAGATAAAATTCAAAATATTAACAAAAACTATAATAGAATATAACACTAAAATAAAGCTAGTTATATATATATATATAATGTTTTACCTTGAAAAATTTATTTAAAAACTTTTTTGAAAATAATGATACAATAAGAGTTCGGTCAGACATTTTTAAGATGTAAGGAAAAATAAATAATTTAAAATAAAATAAACAATTCAGTGTATTTTGAGGTCGGTAGAATATTGATATTTACTAAAAATAGCGCAGACACTGATTGCATCACAGAAAACGTGTGTGTGTGTGTGTGTGTGTGTGAATCTTTAGTTTGTGTTCAGCTTTGGGTTCAGATGCAGTTTAAGGTCCGTCTCACCTGGGCTCCTAAAGCTAGTTATATATATATATATATAATGTTTTACCTTGAAAAATTTATTTAAAAACTTTTTTGAAAAGAATGATACAATAAGAGTTCGGTCAGACATTTTTAAGATGTAAGGAAAAATAAATAATTTAAAATAAAATAAACAATTCAGTGTATTTTGAGGTCGGTAGAATATTGATATTTACTAAAAATAGCGCAGACACTGATTGCATCACAGAAAACGTGTGTGTGTGTGTGTGTGTGTGTGAATCTTTAGTTTGTGTTCAGCTTTGGGTTCAGATGCAGTTTAAGGTCCGTCTCACCTGGGCTCCTCCTGAGGTCTCCACTCCACATAATGATAGAAGTGCTGGACGTTTATCAGCCATTCGCGCAGGATCGCGCTGGTGTTGTCTGAATTATGATCTGTGGCCACCCTGAGGACAGAGAGATCATCTGAAAACAGTTCAACGTCTGAAATAGACATAAAAGACGGCCGCTCCTCCAAACATGAATGACAGAATAGAAAGCAAATGACTATAATTAGAGCTTTTTCATTTTGCTTTTCTTGCTGAATGTTGAGTTTGCTCTCATGTGCAGCGCTGTAAAATCACCCCATATTTAACATCACTACACGACCTCTGGAAAACCAAGCTTGTCTTTAGCGTTTGGCTGCAGAACGACCGCATGAGAACCACAGACCTTCACAGACAGACGGACAGCTGCTACATACTGCAGTACACTTTCAAAATGTGTTAAATTAGTCAAATTCACTCACACAGTCACCAGTGTTGGGGAAAGTTACTTTTAAAAGTAATGCATTGCAGTGTTACTCCATAAGGCAACTAATTGCGTTACTTAGTTTATGGAAGGTAATGCATTACTTTACTTTTGCATTACTTTTTGTCACCTGGGCTGGGCTTGTTTATTTATTTTTAATAACAAAAACCCCAAAAGTTATATTTTTGGCAACTGTAAAGGCCCTCTCACACCCAAAGTGAAACGAATAAACCTCAGGATGAAGGAAGCGCCTCTGTTTCTCTCGGAGTGGTGACAGGAGAAATGTCAGTCGATCAATGGAAAAACAGAGTAACTTGCATTACTTATTTGAAAAAGTAACTCAGACATTTTGTTGTAAATTTAAAAGTAATGCACCATTACTTTACTAGTTACTTGAAAAAGTAATCTGATTGATTTATCACAGAAATCATGCAGGCCGTCTGCTGGAGACCAGGTTTTTTGCTGTGAACATACAGTTTCCAGGTGCACAATCTCATATCTCACACACACACACACACACACACACACACACAAGCTTATGTATGTTCCTCAGGCAAATTCCATTCCTCTTTTTTTCCAGTCACACACGTCCATCTCCATCAGGATTGTTTGATGATCTGCAGCTCTGAATGCTTCCAGTATACACGCTAAACTTGAAGAGAAGAGAAACATTACTAGTAGGGTACAACGGGGCTAAAGGCACTCCGGGGTAAAAGGCGCCTTTGACATTATTTTCATCTAAACCACTAGATGGCACAAAAACGTGGCGTGGCACTTTCCAACACACCCACGTTTCAAGATGCACGTGTATATTTGTCTTATCTTTGACGCGATCGCACGCAGCAGCACAAAGATGATTCTGTGCTTACTTGATCTAATATTTTATGTGTTTTAAAATGTTGTAGATTTAAGTAGCAAATGAGAATCCCTAAAATGAATGCATATATTTTGAGACAAAGGTCTTCTTTATGATTTTCAGCTTTGTTTAAGATAATTAAAGCGACAGTTTTTAAATAACGAAATAATATGTAAAAGTATGATATTTGGGGTAAAAAAGCACCCCTGCTGTCGGGGCTAAAGGCGCACAATAAATAACATGATAATTAATAGATGCCTGACTTTTCCATTTCTTGACATGACATGGTTAGATTCAGATGGTAAATATCATATATTATGTTGGGTGTCCATATTAGAGATAATCACCATGTTTAGAACCATCATATTTAAAAACATGATATTAATCATATCATATAATAAAATGTTTGTTGTTACTACTGTAAATGTATATTCAATTATTATTGTATCTACTTCAATACTTTCAGAATCTTTACTTATTAAAACGATTTTGTTTCTGTATTTTAAAATATATTTTTTATATTAACATATTTTAATGACAGTATATTTATTGAAAAAAAACATTTATTTTATTTTTCAAAATAAGCAGAACATAGTACAAACTTTGCTAAAGTGATTGTTTTAAACAAGTATTAACTTAGACATTATTTAAAAAACATTATTTTAGCTGAAGTATTTGTATCAATACCTTGCCACCTCATACATTTATAAGATTTTTAAACAAAATAAACAACTTGAATTATTTATTTTCACACAAAATCTGTTGCTCCATTAATGTTCAATACAACATATATATTTTTTCTGCAATTATACATTTTAGGCACAGTGAATGGTACATTTTTTTCTTAAGGTGGGCCTTTAGCCCCGTTGTAGTGCTCATAATTAGGTTTAGAGATCTGAAGCAACACTGGAAACTTCAGAAACAAATAATTGTTTCGTTAATAGTGATCTTTTGGTTTGCATCCAAAACGATAAATTACATGCAGAACAAACATTTATTTTATTTAACCTTCCAACAAAAATAACTATATGATAGATTATATTATATACAATACTATGGTATATATATTCAAAAGTTTGATGCTGAAAATTCAGCTTTGATCACAGAAATCAATTACACTTTAACAGATATTCACATTGAAAACAGCTATTTAAAATAGTAATAATATTTCATAATATTACTGTTTTTACTATTTTTGATCAAATAAAGGCAGCCTTGATAAGCATATACTTCTTTCAGAAATATAAATATATACCGACCCCAAAACTTTAAACGGTAGTGTTTATGTTATAATTATATATATTAAACATCTGTGGGTGTAAAATCACATCTGTAATGTGGCTGCCTGATTCATAGAGAGTCATCAAACGAAAGCGCTCATTCGATAATTAAAGCCATTAAGACACAGGAGAAAAAAGGCGCCAAATCACACGCCAAACTGCCGCGCTCACATTAAAGGGGTCATATGATGTTGCTAAAAAATAACATTATTTTGTGTATTTGGTGTAATGAAATGTGTTTATGCAGTTTAAGGTTAAAAAAAAAAAAAAAACATTTCCACATAATGTACATAATTGTTGCTCCTCTATGCCCCGCCTTTCTGAAACGCAGCGATTTCCTTTGCGCTGCTAACACAATGCTCTACCACTGAGCCACAGGAACACATTATATACAGGATTATATATTATTATATTATACAGGATTATAATGACTTATACTGTCTTTTTACGCGTTGCGTTGCATCGCGCCGCGTAAACATAAAACCATGTCATGAGCAATTAATCGCAACATGAAAATCTGATACCGGCATATCCCTAATGCTATGGTTAGAGCATCGTCTCTCTTCAGTGTAGTTTGAGTTTATGCCTGTAACACAGCTTTAGATTATATGGCATTTCATGTGCGTGTGCTGATGCTCAGATCTGCAAACACGTTCGTCTGTTCATCAAAGACTTTTTTAAATACAGTTCAGTTTCAGTTTGCTAAAGCGCTAACGAGCACTGAACCCGCCCAAATGGCTTCTGGGCGTCTCGGACCACATGTGGTTTCGTTCTGGTCTGTTTGTGGCAGCGACACAAACCCCGGCGGTTCGGTTTCAGTTGTTAACCACACGCTGAGAGAAATGCTTCAGTTCTGAATGCCTGCTGTGACTCTTTTGAACTGACTGAAACGAAGATGATACGATGTCAGAAATGTTTTACATGCAGCGGCTTCACGCCAGTCTGTGGATAGACAAGAATCTGCTCTGTTAATTCTTTAAAATAAATATTAAATTGCATATATTATTCTTGAACTGACCAAAGTATTTAAAGGGAGAAGGTTGCATTAAAACATACATTGTACCATTACTTACACCGCATTTTAATATTAGAACATTAGACATTACAATTCCATGTTAAATTGTTTTATATTGTTCTAGCATTGAATGCATTTACACCAGAAGTAACTAATTAAATTACAGAAAAAAATAAGAGTAATCCCTTACTTTTTCCAAAGAAGAAGTAATTAAATTACAGTAAATAATTACTTAGTAATGCATTACACTAACACTGAATGGGAAAATGTTGAAACATGTCTGTATTGTGCTTTGACAATCCATAAATACATTGTCTTCGCTTCAAACAGTAGCCTATGTATTGTTTTATCATGTAAAACCAAACTTCTTTTTGCATTTTTTCACTTGGTGTTATATTTTATCAAATGAAAAAGTTTTTCATAAGTGTCAGAAGAATACTAAAGTGTCGCAAATCCCAGGCTTACTGTGATACGATACCAGTCACTTGGTATATATCCAATATTGGTATAACTGTCTTTTTAAAGTGTATTGTTTTGTGTTTTGCATTTTCAATGTATTGCTTCTCTAATGGATTTCGAGTCTGAAAATAAATGTTGAAAAAGTTAGAATAAATAGTACTCGCTGAGGGAATTTGTTGATTATTATAAATAATAAAGATCAAAGTGTTTGATAAGTATGGAGTTATGCTCTACATTATTAGAGATCAACAATATGTAGTTCACTACACCATGGATGTCTTCCCTACTTTGATGACTTGCATATTTCATGAGCTCGAAGTCTCTCTCAGAAGCCTCTCGCTGTCGCCGCGGGGATGGCTTTGTTTTCAGCTCACAGACTCATTCATGCAGGAAACCCATGCATGTGTTGTTTTCTCACAAATTCCATCAGCGCGCGCAACACGCATTCACGAGCGCGGCTAGAAAGACACGTCGGCTGATTGCATCGGCATGAGTGGAAGAAAGGGGGGCAGAGCTGATCGAGGGGAATGAAGGGGGTGTCTGTGTGCCCTGGACACGTCTAAACTCGCTCATTTCCCCTCCACGCACACAGGACACAGCAGGAGAAAAGACACAACTATCCTGCTCTCGTTTCCAAACAGAGATAAATCACACATCATCTCCAAAACCTCGCGCAAGCACAGCAGCTGTTTGTTAGCTCTCTCAACACACACACACACACACACACACACGCCTCTCTGCTGTTTACGTTCACTCGCTGCATTTGCAGAAAGTCTGCAGTCACTGTATTACAGTTAACGCGCAACGCATCAGTCAGCATCTGTCAGACGCGCAACTGCGCAGAACATCAGTTCTGATAAATAACGCCCAATAATCCAATCCGCCGGGACTCACCATACAGCCATGCGGTCTTTGGGGTAGTTGAGGCGGTCGATGGCACCGAGGACGTGCGGCAGAGAGTGCGCTGAGTTGCGGCACACCAGCGCGAGCAGCACCCGCGGCGCGAGCAGCGCGGACTCCGGGCTCCAGCGCTCCTCCGGGAAATAGCTGCGCGCCGGACCGCTCCACAGCAGCAGGGAAAAGAAACACAGCAGATACATAGCCGGAGGACGAGAAGCGGAACAGCGAGACTGATCGAACAGTGACCATCGGCGATTTATTGCCAACCGACAGAAATACGGGGCGACTCTGGGTGGCCCCTGGAGGAGATTTAAAGGGAAGGGCTTCTTAATAAAAAGAGAAAGAATGTGGTACAGAAAAAGTCAGAAGAATCCAGTGCTCTCAATCATCTGGTAAATGACAGCGAGATTATAATATACGGTAATTAAACTCTACAAGCTGGACTGCTCGCCTTTAATGTCGCGGCCCCTTTAAGAAAAGCAGCTGCGTTAGAATCTGCCAGAAAGTTAGTGGGCGTGGCAAACATACACTTACATACGGGACAAATAGACAATAGCTATAGATTAGAATAGTGGAGGGAATATACGGCAGTGGGACAAACGGTGCTTCCTGAAACACAAAGAGAACCAGTTCACGGTTTTAAAGCGCTCACTGAGGACATCTGCTGGTAACAGTTATAGAAATATCGACTCTAAACCAGCTACAATAGGCTTACTAATTTTATACCACAATACCACTACTATCTTTTGTTTATATTTAAGGGCAATGTATAATATGATACGGAAATGACTAATATAATATACAATTAAAAATGATAACCCTACCGTTCATCCTAACTATCACACAAACCTGTTGACATTTTAATTTTTGCTGATAATTTAATTTTTTATGGTAAAAAAAAAATGGAAAAGAATTCAAAATTATGTGTGTGTTTATATAGAATGCCTCTAATACGTTGCCAGCATGTACATTTTTTCCCCAATATTTCGCATTTTGATTTGAATGTGAATCTGAGAGCGCCCCCTGGTGTACAGGTAGGCTATATTAATTAATTCATTACATTTATATAGCGCTTTTCTAGGCACTCAAAGCGCTTTACATCATCCTAACTATCACACAAACCTGTTGACATTTTAATTTTTACTGATAATTTAATTTTTTATGGTAAAAAAAAATGGAAAATAATTCAAAATTATGTGTGTGTTTATATAGAATGCCTCTAATACGTTGCCAGCACGTACATTTTTTCCCCAAGATTTTGCATTTTGATTTGAATGTGAATCTGAGAGCGCCCCCTGGTGTACAGGTAGGCTATATTAATTAATTCATTACATTTATATAGCGCTTTTCTAGGCACTCTTCTGGGGTCTCAGACGTGATGGGGATGTATACAGATTCCTGAACACTACAGTTAGATTCAAGCAATGATGTAATGTATCATCTGATATACTGAGTACTAAACTGTTTGGAACTCATCGTTGTTTTTAGCACTACTCTGGGAACCAACTGTAATAATAGCTACTACAAAGCTTTTTATTGACATAATGAACCAAGTTATACATCGGACAGTGATAATTTAACAGTATAACACTTCTGTCTGCTGATGCACTTCAGAAATAATAATCATATGTATTACCTTGAGTCATAACCAGTTACAGAACTGAGAAAATAAAAGGAATTATTTTGGATTAATTAGCTAATTCTATATCTGGGTGCAGTTAATATGGGTTAACACAGTCAGATACAAAACTAATGTGTCAAATAAAGTTGAATAAATATTAGCAAAGCTTCCAAATGATAGATTCAAGACAGCAGGTTGATTGTCTGCTCTATTTAATAGATAAAGTAACCATATCTTGCATATATTAGACACATATTAAATGTTTCAGTATTAAATAATTTCATATTAAATCATTTGTTTTCTGGCGTTGGACTTAGATGAAATGAAGGAAATGTTCTAAAACTCTTAAACAATTTTCTTACATGTGATTAAGTTAGCATATGCTTGTGACGGAACAAAATAAGCATAATGTCTTATTTTTTTAATTGTATAAAATATACTATTTTCTTAAATAAACCACTTTCAATAAGAACAGTCAGTCTTTTGAATATTAAAGAGAATGGATGTTAAAAATGCCGGATTTTTTGAATAAGGTCCATAAATAATTAAACTTAATGACTCTTTTTTTTTAATTTTTTTTTTTACTTTGTATAAGTAATGTTGTACTTTGTTGAACTCTTTTTTGTAAATTAACCATGCATTATCTTGGGTATCTTGCTTTTTTAATTATTATTATGAATTTCTTAAATAACCAAACAACATAAAGGCGTCTCTGAGTGCGGCTTCAAGAACAAAAGTTCGGGAACCACTGACATAAAAAGGAGGAGAATGTAATAAAGCTCTGCGCCACTAGAGGGAGCACTCTTTTCATTTGAGTGGAGTTAAAGGAAAACAAGACTCACCTTTAAACAGGTGACTAGAAACGAAAGTAGAAAAGGAGGAAAAGAAGAGACGCCATCTCAGGTATTAAAACGGCTGCATATTGTGTGGTAAGTTATACACTTATTATTAATGTAACCATGCAGTCATATAAAGTCAGCTGCTATTTGAGATTTTTACTTTTCAGTACATGGGATTTCAATACTGTAACACTATATTTTGAAGGTTTAACAGCTCTGACCAAAATGGCAGTAACGTTGTTGTGTGAAGTGCTTTGGTAAATTATTTCTGATATATTCAGATTTACGCCGGCATAGCCTATGTAACAAACAAATAAACAAACTGAAAGTTGCTGTGGGTAATTGTTTTATATTCTGTAATGTGTAGATCCTGTGATGTTTACAAAACAATAAAGTGTTGTTGTTGTTTTTTTTTTGAAGTGCCGTTTTTGTATGTGTAATAATCAGAAACAATCAACAAACCAGTGGTTATTCATTCTGTTGCACAAACGCAAGAAAATGAAAAGTGCCATAGTTGTCAATCTAACTTCTGCTTTTAACTGATATGCGAGTGTGATACACTGAGTAAAGTACACAATCATCGCTGAGTACTGCACTTGTACTGCATTCAAATTTCCACATCAGTACTTGAACTACTAAAAGTACTAAGCTTTTGTAGACTGTTGTGAAACTATGTTGTGTTCGGATTGCACGTTCCTGCTGTAACAAGCATTAAACAAATTAACAAATGATTACCTGAATGTGCCTGAATAAAAAAAAAAACGTGAACAGCAGCAACCAGATGTTTGAAATACATAAGTCAAAAACATAAGTCAAATGAAGTGTAAATCAAACCATCACACACATAAACACTGAACAGGAACATAGTATAGCTGCTAGTCGAGTTCATTTGACAGCACGACTGTTGTTCTACTGGGCTGAACTGTTGTTTTTTTTTGAAGTGCCGTTTTTGTATGTGTAATAATCAGAAACAATCAACAAACCAGTGGTTATTCATTCGGTTGCACAAACGCAAGAAAATGAAAAGTGCCATAGTTGTCAATCTAACTTCTGCTTTTAACTGATATGCGAGTGTGATACACTGAGTAAAGTACACAATCATCGCTGAGTACTGCACTTGTACTGCATTCAAATTTCCACATCAGTACTTGAACTACTAAAAGTACTAAGCTTTTGTAGACTGTTGTGAAACTATGTTGTGTTCGGATTGCACGTTCCTGCTGTAACAAGCATTAAACAAATTAACAAATGATTACCTGAATGTGCCTGAATAAAAAAAAAAACGTGAACAGCAGCAACCAGATGTTTGAAATACATAAGTCAAAAACATAAGTCAAATGAAGTGTAAATCAAACCATCACACACATAAACACTGAACAGGAACATAGTATAGCTGCTAGTCGAGTTCATTTGACAGCACGACTGTTGTTCTACTGGGCTGAACTGCAGTTGTGCTGTATTGAGTTTAACTTGTATTGCACTAAACTTTTGCTGTAATATCCAAAATGTGCTACAATGCGCTATAAGTAAACTACAAGTAAACTGCACTGATCTTCAGTTGTTCTGCAGTTATACAACAGATTGCAAGCATACTTATGGGTGTATATTATTAAATGGATAGTCTTCCCAAAAATTAAAATTCTGTCATCACTTACTCACCCTCATAGAACATCATCTATTTTTATATCTATTTGTCAGGTATCTAAGCGGTTTCTTCTTTGTTTTTAACTATCTTTTGTATTTATTTATTTATTTAGGACGACACTGCCTCGAAAATGAGTCTCCATAACAAGAAAGATAATGAGGGCACTGCCTCTTCATCTGCTGGATCCAGCTGTGTATCTATAAAGAGTGATACATCAATGGATTTTCCTCCTAACTTAAATGAAGGAACAGTGACCTCTGACCCAAGGTAAAACAGTTTTTTTTTTCAACTTTCCTAAACAGCCAAATCCCATGCAGTTTTTAAAAAAAAATCTATTGATCTTTCCACAAACACTTGACTGAATCCTGTTAACCCATCCTCGCTTTTATATATATTAAAAAAAGTAATCTTTACTATACCTTTACTCTTCTCTATCCTGTACTGTTCTAGCCTGAACAAGTTCTCAGTCTCCCTAAGTCACTGTCTCCGCTGTCTCCCACTGTTCACCCAAAAACTAAGTCATCATTTACTCACCCTGGTGCTCTTCTAATGCTATATGCCCTCCTTTCTTTTCGGACCACAAAAGATTTATTTTCTAAAAATGTCCCCTGTAAATCATGAATCATGATTTAAGAAACTCATCATGATTTAAGAAATAACACTACATGTAAACCAAAAACAGTGCATGAAATGTGCATTACTAAAGGATGCAACTCAAAAAGGGGTATCAAAATCATATCTGGTAAAATATATATTTTCACATGGTCTCCAATTGTAATCTCTCTTATTTGGTGCTATTTTCTTTTTCATTTTAGATCTACACTGTCCTCTACATCCCACTATCAGACACATATGAATCAGGATAACACTGAAATAGCCCTGAAGAAACACACACTAGAGACTGGAGACCTGCAGAGAGTCAAAGACCAGCAAAAAATTAGCATGAAAAACAAGTACGGGAGCATATTTGAAGGAATCAAACCAGAAGAGACCCTCCTGAACAGGATCTACACACAGCTCTACATCATAGAGGGAGAGAGAGAAGGAGTGAATGAAGAACATGAGGTTTTACA